CCCCCCCCCCAAATTTCAGTCAGGCTGGACATGGAGGGGGCCTCTGAGCATGTGCAGAGTGCTTCCCCCACTCCACTGAGCTTTGGACGCAAGCAGGGTGAGATGTCCTCCAAACGCAAAGGAGGACGAGGCACAGCCAAAGCATGATATTCAAGAAAAATGGAGGACCAAATAAAAGCTAACGCGACTCATAGAAATGTAAATCCATGCTTCTTAGTCAGGCTCAGAATGGAGGATGTCTTGGTATTCCTCCTGGAGAGGAGGTTGGGATGGAGGACATGACTTGGAAAAGGAGGACACATCGCCATCCTGGCCCAGGCTGACCAGATGTCCTCCTAACTTCCATGGAGGACAAGGCAGTGCCAAATGGAGGCCTTCAAGAGAAATGGAGGGCAACATGAAAGCTCCAAAGGCGAATGATGAATGAAGATGAATCCTTGCTTCTTAGCCATGCTGAGAATGGAGGGCCTTTTGGGATTCCTCCTGGACAGAAGGTTAGAATGAAGAATGTGTCCTGGAAAAGGAGGACCTCTGGTCACCTTGCACCTAAGGGGAGGCCGGGGAGGCCACTACCTCTGTGCCACCAGGTGTGTGTGTGAAGGGGGTCACTCTTCCGCTCCTCTCAGCCAGGCTGGGCTCTGGAGGTGGAGGAGGAGGAGGCCTCTGAGCATGTACAGAGTGCTTTCTCTTCTCCCCTCAGCTTTGGACATAGTGTCCCTGGAGAAGGTAGCAATGAATCCTTTGGAAAGGAAGCGGAGGGGCAGATGCTGGTGGTGATGATGATCCTGCTTTTCCCCAAAAATTGAGACTCAAGGACAGTACTGTACAATTAAAAACATACAAAAGGTACCATTAAAATGGAAGTCATAGAATCATAGAGTTGGAAGAGACCACAAGGGCCATCCAGTCCAACCCCATTCTGCCATGCAGGAACTCCCAATCAAAGCATCCCCAACAGATGGCCATCCAGCCTCTGCTTAAAGACCTCCAAGGTAGTAAGTTATTACAATATTAAAACAGTCTCCCAGGAAGGGGGAGCTGGTCTGTGCTGGGGTCACCACTCACCCCTTTGGTCTCCCTTCCTTCTTCCCTCCCTCCAGGTGCCTTCTGCGCGGGCATGCAGGAGCCGGGCAAGGCCGCCGAGATCCGCGCCGGTGACCAGCTGACCAGCGCTGCCGCCAAGGGAGAGACCGGCGAGGTGCGACGGCTCCTCCATCACGAACTGGTTCACCCCGACGCCCACAACCGCTTTGGGAAGACAGCCCTGCAGGTAGGCCAGGCTGACCCCATGCTCTGTCCTGGAGATGAGTTTTTCCTTTTCTTTCTCCCTTTTCCCCCACATGGCCAAACTGACCTTTGCCGGAGGCCTACAAGGGGACCTGAACTCAGCCCCGAGGCAGCTTAGGCTGCATCCACACTGCAGAAATAATCCAGTTTGACACCAGTTTAACTGCCATGGCTCCATGTTGTGGAATTCTGGGAACTGTAGTTTAATTTGGCACTAGAGCTCTCTTAACAGAGAAGGCTAAATGTCTCTATCCAATTCACTATAAAAACTACAATTCCCAGATTTCCATAGCATTGAGTCATGGCAGTTAAAGTAGGCTCAAACTGGATTATTTCTGCAGTGTAGACACCCCCTTGTTGTGTGCCTTCAAGTCGTTTTTGACTTATGGCAACCCTATGGTGACCCTATGATGATGTTTTCTGGGCAAGTTTCTTCGGGGGGGGTTGCCTTTGCCTTGCTTTGAGGCTGAGAGAGTGTGACTTGCCCAGGTCCCTCCCATATATCTTGGGACCATTAGTGTTACGTTGTTGTTGTGTGCCTTCAAGTCATTTTCCGACTTGCGGCAACCCTAATGCAACCTGGGTATGGGGTTTTCTTGGCAAGTTTCTCCAGAGAGGGTTTGCCATTGCCATCCTCTGAGGCTGAGAGAATGTGACTTGCCCAAGGTCACTAAGTGGGTTTCCATGGCCGAGCAGGAATTTGAACTCTGGTCTCCAGAGTCATAGTCCAGTGCTGAAACCACTACGCCACAATGTCTCAGCTGCGATTTGAAAGAGGGATCTGAATTCAAGCCCAAGACACTTTAGGTACCTTCCAATGTATTTTGGGATCATAGGCCAGAGGGTCTATAGCAGGGGTAGGCAACCTTTCCCCTTTAAGGGCCGAGAGACTTCAGCTCCCAGAATCCCAGGAGCTATTGGCCAACATGGGACTATTGGCCAACATGACTGAGGCTTCTGGGAGCTGAAGTCCCTCGGCCCTTAAAGAGGAAAGGTTGCCTACCCCTGGTCTATAGCCTTCTGGGTATGAGTGAGGTCCTGCAAGTTTCCCTGTATTGTGATGGATTCTTTTAAAGTATTTTAAAACAATTTTATCTTTTAAATTCTATTTTATTCTTTTAACATGTAACTTGTTTTAACATTGTAATAATTTAATTCTATTTTAGTGTACTATTTTTGTATGCTTTTAATTGTAACTGCTTTCTAATGTTCTGAGCCGCCCTGAGGTCCAGTTTTGGAAAAGGGCGGGATATAAATAAATATGATAATAGACAATGACTCTGGAGACCAGGGTTCAAATCTGTGCTGGGCCTTTTAAACCCACTGGGGTGACCTTGGGCAAGTCACACTCTCTCAGCCTCAGGATGACAATGGTAAACCCGCTCTGAACAAACTTGCCAAGAAAACCCCATGATAGATAGGTTCACCGTCCTAAACGACTTGAAGGCACGCCACATCATCCTCTCACCTTGCCGTGAAAGGGCTGCTGACTTCTTTGTGAGGACCACTTTATTCTCCTGTTTTCCATCCCCGCTTTTTGCTTGAGCAAGGAAGCTCCTCCGTGACTCAGAGGCTTTTTCCTCCTGAATCTATGCTAACCAAGGTCGGGTCACTCAAGGGCCAGTGGGTGGCATGCATGCAGACCCGAGGGAAAGGAGAGGCAAGCCCTGCCTTGCTGGCACAGCTACTGGCAGGTCCTGTCTGAGCAGAAATGTTCCAAGGTGGAGTAATCTCTTGCAGGGCTGCCAGTTGCCTCTGTGCCAATATCTGCGACAGATAACTCAAAAATTACACCTTGGCTGCAAAATCCCCGAACTGTGGCATTAATGCACTGCGCTGGCAAAAGACCTCTTGTTGTTACTAGGTGCCTTCAACAATTCATTTTCGACTTACGGTGATCCCAAGGTGAACCTATCATGCAGTTTTCTTGGCCAGATTTGTTCAGAGGAGCAAGTTTGCCATTGCCTTCCTCTGAGGCTGAGACAGTGTGACTGGCCCCCTCTTTGTTGTCCTTCCAGGCTAAGACCTTCCTCTTCAGACAGGCATTTAAAACAGAAGGTTTTTAAAGAACGGAGTGGGTGTTGTATTCTTTTAAAGTATTTAAAAACACTTTTATCTTTTTAACTAAATTTTATTCTTTTACATGCAGTCTGTTTTAATACTGTAATAGTTTAATTCTGTTTTCATATAATACTTTTCTATGTTTTTAATTGTAGTGTTTTTAATCTTGTAAGCTGCCCTGAGTCCCAGTTTTGGGAGAAGGGCAGGATATAAATAAATATAATAATAATAATAATGTTGATGATGATGATGATGACAGTGATGATGATGATGTGGGTTTCATGGCTACACAATATGATTTCTACTAGAATGAAGCTGAATTTGTCATCTTCACTGACCAAAGAGAATGGCACTGTTTTCATGTGCCCCCCAAACAAGGGTAAATTTTGGGATGGGAGTTGTTCCCCTTGTTCCGCTTTGACCTTTCTCTCTTCCCCTCCAGGTCATGATGTTTGGCAACGTTTTCGTGGCAGAGGAACTCCTGAAGCAAGGGGCCAACCCCAACGTTCAAGACGAGTCGGGCACGGCACCTGCCCACGACGCTGCCCGCACCGGCTTCCTTGACACCCTGAAAATCCTGGTGGAGCACGGTGCAAACATCAACGTCCCGGATACCTCTGGATCGCTCCCCATTCACATTGCCATCCGGGAAGGTCATGCCAATGTGGTGCTCTTCCTGGCACCTCTGTCCGACTTGCAGCACCGGGACTCAGAAGGACGGACGCCACTGGAGCTGGCGCAGCAGCTGGGCCTCTCGCAGATCCAAGGCATCCTTGAGCAGCACCTCTCTGTCCCGGCTTAACATGAGAACACGTTGGGGGGCAGGATCAACACGGAACAAGCTTTGTTTAGCCCCCTTTTCTCCCCTTCCCTTCCAATGAGGACTGTCTCCTCATTCCTTCCCTGGGCCTTTGAACAAATAGGCAGCTCCTCCTGCCCTACCTCAGTGTGTGTGGCCAAATACTTTGCTGTTGTTTTTATTTATGTGGAAGTTGTATGAGTTTTTCCTTTATGATTTCTTCATTTCCTCCAAATCCATCCAGTTTCCTGGGATCCAGGTGGCCCTTGGAGTGGAGAGATCCTGTTGGTTACATCCAATGCTTGGCTTTGGCCCAGAAGAGAAGAGTGCACCAGATTCTCTTGAGAATGTGACATTTCTGGACTAACACCCAGAATCCTCAAGCCAGTGTGGCTGCTAACCTTGCTGGCTAGAGGATTCTGGGAACTGATCATCAGTTTCACTGGAGCAGGGGTAGGCAACCTTTCCCCTTTAAGGGCCGAGGGACTTCAGTTCCCAGAAGCCTCAGCCATGTTTGCCAATAGTCCCATGTTAGCCAATAGCTCCTGGGATTCTGGGAGCTGAAGTCCCTCGGCCCTTAAAGGGGAAAGGTTGCCTACCCCTGCACTGGAATATGCCTTAACCATCCCTTACTACTACTTGCCTTGGGAAGGTCCCAGGATCTCCTGATCTCACAGTCAGGAGGGATGTTTTTTCTTATGCAGAGTGTCCATTGGCATGCTCTTCTCCACCCCTTGCACAAAAAAATTTCAGCCTTTTGGTGGAATGCCTGGTGGTTTTACCTTTCAGGGTATGTCTGTGCACCCTTGTTCCATTTGACTTTTCTTGTGAAGAGTTCTATTGCTAATTCTCTTGTGTGTTGCCTTGTGTGCTGGGCAGGGATGGCAAAGTCAAGGTGTGTATGTTCATTAGTACAGTACTAGCGGGACAGATGGAGGTATTACAGAGCAGAAAGCTACTGATGCATAGAAAAATCTAACATCTAGCTACACAAGATTCGCCTCCTGTTATGTCCCTCACCCACCTTGTGATCTCTCCCTCATTTCTGTATGAATTCAGGGAGATCTGATTGTTAAACCATTAGTAATTATTTTCACCTTGGTCTTTTGGTAGCTATCCCTGCCCTTCACACATATATCAAAAGTGTGCTGAATCTGTTATCTTTGACTAAAATTTTTTGAGGCTTGTTGTGACAGCTTGTTCCCTGTAATGAATTTGTGGATCTGAGCTGTGTATATATATATTAGATTTTAAAGGAGGGGAAATTTATTCTATTTATTGTGATTTGCAAGGGTTTGTATTTTATGGAATGATTAATTTAATTATTAAAAAGCATTAAATCTATTTACAATGGACTGATTTTGGATCCTGGGTAATTTGTCTGCAGGAGAGAGCGTGAAACATACACCTCCCATTGGGTTTCAAAGGACACAGCCCCTGAAGAAAAATACATAGGGGGCAGTCATTGTGAAGTTTCCTGAGCACCATTTTTAAAACTTGGGACCCACAAAGCCTGTGAAGCAAAAGTCACAATGGGCTTGCTGGGAACTGTGAATCACTGCTCTTACATCACCTGCAAGTGGGAGGGATTTGCATCACACCACAACCCTGCACTTACACACAGGGCCTTTCAGAGCTGCAAGTCTGGTTTGCATGCTGCTTCTTGCCACAAGGAGTAGTCTTGAGCATTATGGGATTAACAACCATTCTGTATAATAGGGCGAGTAATCTTTGGCCCTCTAAATGTTGTGGACCTTGCCTCCCATTTTTTCTCACCACCAGCCTTTCTAATTTCTGGGAAATGAAATCCAAGATACCTGGGGAGCCAACGGTTCCCCCACCTTAGCTTTCTAAAATTCACAGAAACGCCTTTTAAAACGACAATCCCAAGCCCTGTCAGGGTTAAAGTACATTCCTGTAATAAGGAAGTACTTTGCCCCTGTGCAACACCTCATAGCCATGGACTCTGGAAGGAGGGATTTGCAGCCTCTTAGGTGCTTTCTGCTGACATTTCTTGCAGATTTTCATTAGACAGCATTAGTGGAGTTTCCCATTCTTTTTGCTGTGGAGATTAAACTTGAGCTCATGAAAGAACTTCATGGCTTGCAAGGGGCTGTGTGGGTGTAAATTTTCATGGAGCAATGCATATCTTGCCTCTTATTTTAGAAAAAAAGCTCAAGGTGGCTAAGAAAACACATTTTTAAAAAATCACAAACTGGTCAAAGTAAGCTTTATTCTCCCGTTTCTTTCTGCTTGCTGCAGATTGAGCTCTGATATAAAAAGGCTATAAATAATGGAAGGTCATTTTAAACTTTTCATTTAGTTATTAGGAATACTGAAAACACCCTGTGAAAGGAAGAGGGGGATAAAGTGTTTGTGTGAATCCATCTTTGTAACTTCTGAACTTGTGTCATCTCATTTACTCTGAAAACATCTTTTGCTGACACTAGCAAATTCCAGACTTAGATCCCCATCCACTTGCTCACTGTTTTGGGTCACTTCAGTTGCCTAGAGAAACAGGGTGGAATTATATCAGTCCCACTTCTGTTTACACACTTATCCAGCCTAGTGTGGAAGACATGAATAGAGAGAGTTCCTCTTTCTGTTTGCAGTCAATTTACTCTTGGATATATAACTGAGTGAGACACTAAAGTTGAGCCTCGACCCTGTAGTCTGGGATAGCTGGTCTTCAAGCAAGCCTAAAAAACACAGCAATGCAGTTTGTATCGTGGAACTTACTATACTGTTGCAAGTTAGAGGAAAAATAAGGAGTTTTAAAAGGACTTTAGTGTGCCTAGTAACATAGAATCAGGTTGAAAAAGTCAGACACCTTTGCCACTGTTTAATAAATGGGCCAACTTGGTCAACTTTCTGAGCATGTCTGAAAGAGGGAGCTTTGACTCCATTTACTATTTCTTATTTATCTGTGACGCCAGCTACTGTTCATAGAAGATGCAAAACCAATTTCCTGTTTTTAGTGTTTGGGTGGGATGAGAAGGCAAAATCAGCTTTCAGTCTAGCAAAAATGTATTGGACTTACCCATCTGATTTGGCTCTTAAGTGATGCCAAGACATCAGACATAACACAAGCAAGGGAGCTTTGTATGGGACAGAGTACTAAAATGAACCTGTTGCATTTTGCAGGCAAGTGTGGAGCTTTATCACCCAAAATAATGTCCCAGCTGCTGGGTGGGGCCCTCAGTGATGCAGGGAAGGAAGGAAGCCAAATATTTTATAACATCAGCTGTCTGCTTTCTTGCCAAGCGCAGGGAGGGAGGGGGGGGTTTTGTTGGCTGGGTGCAGACTGAGATGTAAGCAAGGGAGATAGCAGGAGCTTTAAAAATGAAAGTACAAACAGCTGAACCTGTTTTGCAACTTCAGTGTTTGACTCTGTGCCAAGAGCCCAGCATCTGCCAGGAAACCATCAGCAGCTGAGCAAAGGGATTACCAGCAATGCCTAAAGTTCAAGCAAGCCATGGCTTCTTGCCTAAGGATTAATGATATCTTACCCTGTAGCAGATCAAGCCCGAAATTTCCATGGAGTCCAAGATGACAAAGCTGAGGCTGTTGTACTTTGCCCACATCATGAGAAGGCAGGACTCACTGAAAAAAATGTTAAGAAAGAAGAGGGATGCAGAAAGAGAGGAAGACCATACAAGATGGATGGACTCTGTTAACTGGCTAATGTTCAACTCTCTTCAGTCGCAGGCTCTCAGGTCAAGTATACACAATACAGATTGTTAGGAAAACTACCTTTCGGATTACAGCTCTCAGAATTGCCTAGTTAGCATAGCCATGCTCAGGGCTGTAATTTCTGCACACAATAATGTCTCCAAGATCTGGATTTTTAAGCAACGATGAACAACCTGTTCTCCAGATGTGGGTTTTCAGCAAGCATGGCCAGTGGTCAGGCACAATGAGAGCTGGAATCAATAACATTTGCAGTGAACAAGTGCACTCTTTGCTTTACAAAATATTTATTTTAACTCCTTTATTCAGGAGGACCCATTCCCGAGAAAGGAATAGAATCATAGAATCATAGAGTTGAAAGAGACCACAAGGGCC